GTCATCTTTTGTGTAGCCAGGAGCAGAAGATCCCAAAATCTCATTTTGCCACCTGAATAAAATTCTTTTTTAAGCCCCTGAAATAATCGCAGTTTATCGCTTTTAAAATGAGGAATAATTGTGAATGGGAAATCTTTATTTCAGCCAGTGTTTTACAAAGTTGCTCTTCTTGTTTGGGGGGGATAATAGACAAAAAGAAAAAAATGTGATTACCTATTTGACAGCATTAATTAAAATGTAAAGGGGGAAATCGTTTGAAATAATAAAAACAAACAGGCTGCAAGTGCGATGTCAGTGCAGCCTATAGATGAGGATGAGGAGGATGAGTGGGGGGGGCGACTTTGAGATGACATTGAGGCTGTGTAGATGGGAGTTGAGTCTCTGGTTGTTGATGTTAGTCGCACAAGGCGAAGCGGCTGCTGCCCGTGTTGATTCAGCCTCCTCCTCCTCCTCCTCTTCATCCTCCTGGTCTTCAGCACTGCTCCCCGCTGGACAGCTCCTGCTTGGACCCCTCTAATGCTGCATGGTCCCTTTAAGTCTTTTAATGGAAGTAAAATCTATTTATGTTTCAAGAAATATTGGGAGTTTACAACTTCACCCACAGGAGGAATCTACGGATACCTCGTTCCGAGATTTGTGGCAGGCAGCGTATCCTCGGCGGCACAGATCACAGATTGACTGTGAGTAAACAGGGTGCTGAATTCTTGCGTCTGTCTGTGCGTGTGTACGTGTTTGAACACCTATACAAACGAGGCTGGTTAAAGCATGGTTATTATTTTTATTTATATTATTTTTCGTATCATGTGATAATGATTAAACTGTGAATGGGGCTAGCGACATGTAGCTGGGATTCATGTAAATTGCACGATGATCTCTGAACCTACGCGCTGTATCCAATTAAATGCTGTATTGATTGCTGCATGCCAGTCATTTGGATGTTGCAAGTGTGGAGAGGACGCGATTTCATGCGTTTAATAACGCGCAAGGTTCTCAATTATTCGGGTAGATTGGGGTAGGAATTTGTGCAGCCTGGTGCGTAAAGCTTTTACGCATTGGAGATCCCTTTGTCCCTACAATGCGTTTTGCATTCGAGTTTGTTTGAGAGGTTTATTTTGTATCCCTGCTGCTTTCAGCTCTTTACGTGGTTAACTGTTAAGAATCTGTAGGTGGTAATTGGTGGACTTCGCTGTGCTTAAATCTCATAGGCTATTTGCTATCGCTACGGTGCGTCTTGCGCTTATGTGTATGTTTTGGATCCTGTAATTTGTCTCCAAGTTTGTTTGCTTTTTTTTTATAAATATTTTTTTCGGTATCTTTTAATAATATTTGCTGGATAATTAATTGCAAACATTGTTTAGGCTTCCATGTCTGCTGGTCTGGCTTTGAATGCTGTTAATTTATGTGCAATCTACCGTCTGTGTTTTAGTTCTGGGGCAAGTCAGCATGACTTTGCCCTCGATGGTTTTTGTTGTTTGTTGAGTCTAACATAAATGGAAATTTTTCTTCAGGGTGCCAAATGATCGGGAGGTTCGCTAGTCTGCGTTTTCATATTCATTCATCAGAGATAAACAGTGTTTATATTTGATTTCCATTCTTTTATTACACCTGCCGGGAGTATAACATGTCCATATTTGCTTATTAAATAACCACTTTTTCTGCGCTCCCTTGAAGAGACAATCAATTAGCCTACTCTATTACAGGTTAACGACGACTGACGAGCCTTGTGCGCACAGGCTTCATCTCCAGACATTTGGTCCAGGGGTTAGGTCGAAAAACCGCGAAACTGCTGTCTACGTGGACTGGTGCTGAAGCCTCCCGTCCGACTGCCAGGACCTCTGCCAAATCCAGAGACATGGCGACGAACGGCACCAAAACGGATGGACAAGTCACAGAACTGAATGAGGTGGCCACTAATAATGACAAACCCAAGTCACTGGACGTGAAACCCGAAAAGCAGAAAAAGGAGGTGCCTGATAGAGAAACATGGAGGGGGAAATTTGATTTTCTTCTGTCGTGTGTGGGTTATGCAATTGGACTGGGAAACGTATGGAGATTTCCCTATCTCTGTGGAAAAAACGGTGGAGGTAAATATTATTTTCACAGCTAATTTAACTGCATGTATCATTCAGTTCTATGATACACATAGTCGAACTGACCAAAGTGATCGTGCTGATAACATAAAAATAATTAAATCATCGCCATGTAATTAATTTACTCTAGGCAATTTTAGCCTAAAATTGATAACTCGTAAGTGCATAACGTAATCTCCTTTTGTCCATCCAGGGGCCTTCTTAATTCCCTATTTTTTGACCCTTATATTTGCTGGGGTCCCCTTGTTCCTGTTGGAATGCTCCCTCGGTCAATACACATCAATTGGAGGGCTTGGTGTGTGGAAACTGGCTCCTATGTTTAAAGGTATATGAACAGAATATTTATAGGTAACCAGAAAATATTTACTTTGATGAAAAAAGCATGAATATTTATGATGTTGATGCTTATAAGAAATAAGTATGGCCATCACTATATGTGGAGGCCACACTCAAATCAATCCAATAATAGTTGTATAGTGGCTAATTCATTTTTCTGTGACAGGTGTGGGCCTTGCAGCGGCTGTTCTGTCCTTCTGGCTCAACATTTACTACATTATAATCATTGCTTGGGCCATTTACTACCTGTACAACTCCTTCACCACTGTAAGTATTATACAGTGTGTTTCATTTAAAGCTGAAGGAAAGATAAGAGCAAGGTTGTTCATTGGGAATGTAGCCTGCAATATCTGCAAGAAACTGGTAATCCCTAAATTTGTCATGGAGAAGGAAATCACAAATTTCTATTTTTCAGGAACTTCCATGGAGCTCATGTAACAATGAATGGAACACAGAGAGATGTTATACAAACTACAGCATTGCAGACACCACCAATCTCACCAGTGCAGTGGTGGAGTTTTGGGAGTAAGATATTGACTGCTTTCTCTTGCTTTTCACAACAGCAGCGCTTTAAACTGTCCTGCATGCTTCCCCGAGCTACATAAAAGACAGCCTCCTCTGCTGCATGGTTATTTCCCTGTGTGTGTATAATAGTCTTATTGTTGCTTCCTCTGACTTATAGGCGCAACATGCATCAAATGACTGATGGCTTGGAGAAACCAGGCCAGCTTCGAGTGCCACTGGCAATAACGCTAGCTATTGCCTGGGTCCTCGTGTACTTCTGTATTTGGAAAGGGGTTGGCTGGACAGGAAAGGTAAGATGTTTGATAGATTTGGTTACCCAAGACCTCTGATGCTATGCTGATTCCAAAAGTGGAACACTATGTGAGCTATGCAATATTAATCACTTTAATATCAGCTCATCAATCATTCAAATTGCAATCAGTATCGTCCAGATTTGTTTCAAAATAGGAGAGGAGTTAGCATAAACTCATGTTCACTAATCCTGCTCTGCCTTATGGTGGCTCCCCTAATTCTGCTACTCCTGACACTTCCTCTATCCTGCATGTGGATTTGTGATAGGTAGAGCAACAAACAGCCGCTTGCAAGAATCTGGCTTTATCTTTTCCCTTTACTTGGGGCAGATTCCCTCTCTTGGGGTGCCACATTTTGAAAGTGAGGTTTATCACATGACCGTGGAAAATAATATTTGGTTTGGTCACAAAATATCCCATCCCCCATCGCCCCATGCTTTGCACACACATATCTTACACTGTGTGAGAAATTCAGAGAGACAAACAGGCCAGCTGTAAGTGAAGTTTCATTTGCTTTTTTTTTGTTGTTGTTGTTCGGAAAAGCTACAGAAACTTTACAGATCTCATGAAAATGTATAAATCTATGGATCATATATATTGTTAAAATGCAGCGATGTTACCCTGCTGATAATGGTCTTACATTTTCAGGTCGTTTACTTCTCAGCCACATATCCTTACTTCATGCTGTTTATTCTCTTCATCCGTGGGGTGACTCTACCTGGAGCTAGAGAAGGAATTTTGTTCTATATCACCCCTGACTTTGAAAAGCTCAAAGAATCTGAGGTAATGACATATTATTACATGATTCATACCCATGTACTGCATGCCTGAGTGAGCAGACGACGGCCTCACGCAGTTATTTTCTCCTTTTTTCAGGTATGGCTCGATGCAGCTACTCAGATCTTTTTTTCCTACGGATTGGGATTGGGGTCACTTATAGCTCTAGGCAGTTATAACCCTTTCAATAATAATGTTTACAGGTAAGACTGGTGATGATTCATGAACAGGATGTAATCTTTGAGACAACGACAAAGACTGCTGCTGAATTTAATATATGAGAGTAAATTGCAATACCTGAAGATAGAAGTAATTAAATTGTTGCTACTTTATAAGATAACTTAATCCAATTCGATCTTACTCGGTAGAAGCTTTTAAAAGGAGGTTATAAATGTCAGTTCCTGGCATGAATATAATAAAAATCTAAGGCAGCTTCTTTCTGTTGGTGTGTGTGCTGGAGGAAAAAAAAGTACTATTATTGCAAAGCCTGTTTTCTCCAGCAGCCCCATGGTTCTGGGTCACATAAACAATCAGTTACATAAAAATAGTTGCATTCATTTTGTGCATTTTGTGCCCTTGATTCAAACGGATCTAGCTTCCTACAACATCTATATCTATAAAAATGTGACAATGGTCATGTTTGGTGTGAGGTTTTGAATGGAAATATATTTATATCATTCACAATTAAGAAATATTGCATATATATATAAAACACTACAATGAAAAGGAACAGGTAACAATGATGACCTCATTTTGAGGTTTTTCAGAGAAGATCAGTTAAGAAGCACAAGAATTAGTCAATTTAAGTCTTTGACACAAGCTGTATTTTACATTTCCTCTCCCCAGAGACTCCATCATTGTGTGCTGCATCAACTCGTGTACCAGCATGTTTGCTGGCTTTGTAATCTTCTCCATTGTTGGCTTCATGTCACATGTGACAAAGAGACCCATCGCTGATGTAGCAGCTTCAGGTAACTACAGATTGTTTTCTTCTGTAATGATTCTGCGTCTGCACAAAAAAGCTGCACTGTCATTGATGCTCACTGATGAACAGCATCAGTCAACACTTCTGTGTGAATATGTATGCATGTCGTTATCAGAATACTGTGAGAGGAACCCCGACGAAATATGATTTTTCCTGTTTTCCAACCAGGTCCTGGCTTAGCTTTTCTGGCCTATCCGGAGGCTGTAACCCAATTGCCCGTTTCCCCTCTCTGGGCCATTCTGTTCTTCTCCATGCTGCTCATGCTGGGAATAGACAGCCAGGTAAGGGGCTTGGAGATGATCTGCTCATGGGCTGACCTAAATATTTTAAATGCAGGTACATATCATGCAGCTCACCCCTGCTCTCTGCATGATAAGCATGCAATTTGCTTCTTGTGGACAGATATAGCTGGGCTTTGACATTGGCTGTCAAGTATTTTTAATGCAACTTTATCACCTCCATTTGCCTGCAGGTCCCTTTACGTGTGCGTGTGTTTTTTCTCTTAATATATGATAGCTCAGTTTGAATAAAGCTAGAGAAATTTGAACACCATATATGCAGTTACACAGTGCCCATGAGCATCAGCACTTCAAAGTAAAAGACTAATTTTAACCCTATTCTAATATCAACAGTGCTTTTGCATACAAGAGCTATTACCAAAATGGCATCCAAGAAGTGAATGCTTGGTCATTCAGAAGATTACATTAGTGATTTTGTCCCATGGTTTGCTGCACACTGCGGTTTTTTGTTAAAGGTTCTCTGTTAAAGAATGCGTTTTGCTATATAACTGCAAATCTCTGCAAAACGTAGAAATCCGTTCTTTTAAAAACACCCACATTAAAGAATATAAAAGCAGCAAAGTGCAAAAAAGTGCTAGTATTCATACTTATCCCTAATGCTGTTTCTATGACTCTGTCCTTCAGTTCTGCACTGTTGAAGGCTTCATCACTGCTCTGGTGGATGAGTTTCCCAGAGTTCTTAGAGGTAGACGAGAGCTCTTCATCGCGGTTGTCTGTCTGGTGTCCTATGTGATTGGACTTTCAAACATCACGCAGGTACAGCAGGGCATCTTTCTCATATTACCACTGACTATTCATGGCGTTACGTTACACAAATCAGTGAAAGAAAGGAGAAAAATTATTAAAAGATACAAGTAAAACATGTGCATCTATGTACCATGCAAAAGGCAATTTATATTTTAATCAGTGGCTTTAATTGATTACAGCACTAGAGTATATTTGCACATAAAGTTTTCAATAACACCTATCAATTTCTCTGTAACCAGGGAGGAATCTATGTGTTCAAACTGTTCGACTACTACTCTGCCAGTGGAATGTCCCTGCTGTTCTTGGTCTTCTTTGAATGCATCTCCATATCCTGGTGCTACGGTGTGTATCGGGAATGTTCCATTAAACATAGCAAGAGAAACAAAATAAGCTGTTTTTTTTCTTTTTCTTTTTTTTACAATTTTAAAATAGGTTTGCAAAAAAAAATCTAATATGTGAAAGGCTGAAAGCCTCAGGTGCATCCAAAGATATGTGCACAACTTCAAGCGACGTTCAGCCTCAAGGTCACGAGCACTCATGTGTTCCACCCCACCATCCTCATCATCATGCATGGCAGACCAGGGGCAAATTGAAATAAATTGGATATGAATATTTTGATCATAGATTCATTTGTCTCGCAGGTGTGAACAAGTTCTATGACAACATCCAGGAGATGATTGGCTACAAGCCTTGCATATGGTGGAAGTTGTGCTGGGTTGTATTCACCCCTCTCATTGTCGCAGTGAGTCCTCCGAACTAACAGAACAGTACATCTAAAGTCACGACATGAAAATGAAACAATAAATAAAGTCAATATTACCTGCCTGCAGCCATGTCAGGCTAAGACAGCGCTGCCTGTAGTCAGTGGTGTCAGGATGCATAAAGGGTTTCATGTCTCCCACAGGGGGTGTTCTTGTTCAGCGCCGTACAAATGGTTCCTCTCACAATGGGAGACTATGTGTTCCCAAGCTGGGGTCAGGGAGTAGGCTGGCTCATGGCGCTGTCCTCCATGATTCTCATACCAGGATATATGATCTACATGTATCTCGGGCTCAAGGGCACTTACAAAGAGGTAAGAAGGAAATCATCTGTTGTTGGGTCACTGGGTAAACAGCACAGATTTTGCCAGCTTTTATTTGTAGGTTTTTAGCTTCACTCTGTAACCTAGTATCTTCTTTCTCTTATGTAATTATTTTCACCACGTGTTCTGCTCCCAGCGACTTCGGATAATGCTTCAGCCCCCTGCAGTTGTCAGGCGACCTCAGGAAAATGGACCGGAGCAGCAAGTGGAAACCAACACCGCTAACCTGTCCAGCCCTGCCAATCCAACCAGTGCTGCCAGCCCAGCCAACCCGGCTCCTGCGAACACCGCCAGCCCCACCAGTCCAGCTCCTGTCAACTCAACCAGCCCAGTGACACCTGCTGCCCCTCCACCAGCTAATCCAGCCAGCGCCTCTAGCCCTGTGAATCCTGTGACAAGTCCTTCCACCACTATCACCACCACCACCACTACCGCAACTGGTCCGGCTAACCCTCCCACCACAACAGTTAGCCCAACCAGCCCACCACCCAACCCAACTAGCCCACCAGAGCCCGTCAGCCCCCCGAACCCAACAAGCCCGACCTCTAACCTGACCAATGCCGAGGCCAACGTGTAGACAACAAAGAAACCCTCATGGAGCATGTAGAAAAAAGAGAACATTACAAAGGACTTCCAAGATTATAATTGATTCACCTACCTCCAGGGGCAATATGTGATCAAAACCGATTTTCAAACCATGTTTAATTTTTTTCTGCATTTGTAAAACCAAGCCAACGATGTCTTATTGTTGGTTTGCATTCCGAAAACAATATCAAAGACTGTTAGTGTCCACAAATACAAGCATAATTCTGGGTAAAAAAAAAAAATGTAAACATACTGTGTAATACTGTGAGAAAAGAAAAAAAAACTTAGAGATATAGATTAGAGATTTGTTGAATATCTTCATGAATCAAGTAAATTCCGTGTGAATATAGTAGATGAAGTAGTGAACAAAATTGACATCATTGAAAAGTGCAAAGGATGGCGTCAATTTTCCTTTTTTTTTTTGTGGATGTTTTCTAAACCTCACACAGTTGTCTCTTTTCCAAATGTTGCTCTCTGTGAGGTAAAACATGGCCACACGGCAAACGGGGAGCTCTGAGTAAGCACAATGCCAATAAGAAGTTCATGTTAAGGAGCTCTGGAGCGATCCAGTATTTGTTGCAAAAGATTATGTGTGTGAGAGAGACTGTTATTTTTCCTTCATTTTTTCAGTGAAAAAAAGAGAGAAAACTTTTATGTGATCAAAACATTTTTAGAATTATTTTTAGGATGTTTTATACTATATGTGTTGTGATGGAGGACCAAAATCAATAGGCAGACAAAAGCAAAAACTATGCCATTAAGTATTCGGTTGGTAAAGCACAGGGTACAAAGAAGTACAATAATAATAATAATGATGATGATAATAATAAAAAGCACAGGGTTCGAAAAGCGATTTACAAACATCGACTATCCCTTAATGCTGACAGTCAATCCTGTTTACGTTTTGCATGCTTTCCTCAGGAACATCAGTGAAATACTGCTGAGATGTCTCCTGACAAACAAAAGAAGAGAAACAGAGTAGGCCTTAAGCCAGTACACCAATTCCAACTAAGCCATAGTCTGTTTACATGACTGGGCAGAAGTACAAAATAGCACTTTGTATGCTAGCACAAAAAAAAACTGGACCAACTCTGTGTTTAAGTACAGTCATGTTTTTTTTCTTTGTGTGTCTTGATCAAATATAGTTTGATCAATATGTATTCAGCAATACATATGTAGGTGTATAAGCGCAGGCCATTAAGCAAGTGGTCTGTTTCTCTTTTTGTTGATGTTGTCTTTGCTTTACAACCGAAAAAGCATAAGCTTTAATTTTACCAGAGTTTTGCCATGGTGTGTCAAGACAATGTTAGTTTGCTTCTATGGCAGCTACTATGAAAGGCATCTGGTTGAACAGCACATGTTTACTTTGAAAAGCAAAACAACTGAGCGAAAATGTGAAATGGCTACAGTTCATGTCCTGTGAATTTTGTATAAAGTTAATCTACCACAGTTTTCTCTGGAAGTTTGTTGTAAAACTGTACTGTGTAAAACATGTAACTGTGAATGTCTGTAATACATTGGAAGTTATTGTCTAAATGTTGAAAAAACTGAGTTGCTGTTTTCTGCAATAATATTTTGATCACAGAAGCTAAAGCACATATCTTACAGAAATATACGAAATGATGATGATGATGATGATGACAATGAAGATGCTGACGATTATATTAAAAATAGAACCTATGTCTAGTAAAAAACAATATTGTTTTGTATATTTTTAACTGTCTCACTGCCTAATGTAAAACATAATATAAACATGATATGTATCTAAATGGTGTCACATGATAAAGCACGATTGTTATGTTCTACAAACAGAAAAAGACTGAAAAAATAAAGAGTTATAGAAAATATAAATACAACACATGCCTGGCATATGTCCCTTATAGCTTTTGTTTTTTAAACAAGCGGAAAGAAATAGTGGTTCTGGTAACACTGTTACCAGAAAATTAGGTCAACTCCAAATATCCTATCAAAAAAAATAAATAAATAAATAAAAACATCCTGCACTGACTCTTCCTGCAGTAATTGGCTGTTGTTCCCTCGCTTGTAAATAAACCCTGTCCTTAGAGCATTTCTAGTCAAAAGATATAAGAAAGTGTGAAACCAATAAAATTACATGGATGGATTTGGTGGGGGGGGGGGGGGCTTGAAGTGTTGTGTAGCTGCATTCATCTTTTGTTCTTTTAGAATGAGACCAGGTGGGACATGTAAAATAGCTGCTTTTGTAGCTTTGGCTGAAGATGACATCCAGTTTAACTCTATCATGTGGGTAAAATTAAACATCATTACAGTTAAAAAGTAAATAAAAAGCAATTACACATCAAAAGCAAAATTGACTGAAGCCCTTCCTTGTGGTTTACTGAGTGTCAAAAACACAAGCTGATAGAGAGGCCTCAGCAAACAAGAAAAACATCACCTCAAAACAACTCTTGCCCCGGGGCCTGCCGTCCCCACCCGCCCCATCTCCCCAACCTCTTACGGCTCCTTGTGTATTTATGTGCAAGTGTGTGCGCGCGCGCCTGCATCTTCTCCCCCACCTACCACAGTTGCTGCTTCCATTAGCTTCCAGTGTGATAAAAGAGACGGCACCAGCTGACACCACAACAATGACTCGCCGTGGATAAAAGAATGACTTGTCCCCTGTAGTAGCTCATGGCAAACTGTGCGTGTGGGCATGTGCGCGTGTGTGCATGTGTGTGTGTAAGAAAGAGAGCGAGAGAGCAAAGAGAGAAAAAGAGGCAGGTCAGGGATAGAAAGCTATCTGTTTGAGTGGACTAGGCTTTGAATAATGCCTCTAATCGCAGCTCATATAAACTAGCCACTGATGGATGACTTAGTAGCCTCCTTTATTCCCAGTTGTGCAATTTAACATCATTACCTATCAAAACCAGTCACCACTGAGACAACCCAAACTGATGTCTTCTGTCCAAAAGAGAGGTGCATCATCATTTTTTGGCAGAGGAGGACAGGAAGAAGAAGCTCTTTATTAGTTAGGCGCAATCTAGCAGAACACAATTAGCTTTTGGTTAGGGCAGGCAATTTCTGCAGTTTCCCCAGTGACAGATATAACTTTATAATGTTTTATTGCATTACCAATGCTTCCAGCAAAATGTTTAAAAAAAGAAAAAAGACAAAACAATGGGATTTTTGTGTTAGGGTGGGGTTATGGCTATGGTCCAAAATCGAGACATTTTTGTTTCCCAACATAGCAGTTGAAGTATTTTTTGACTTTTTTCCTCTTTTTTTCCATCTTTTGCAAAGGAATTTCGGCCATATTGCCACTTCAGGTGACTTCATCATTGTGACATCTAGAAAAATGATCGCTCTGTCGAATCTATTTCACCAAAAATATATATATGATTAAAAATATGACTCAATAAGATTTTGATTAGGTCACAAATTTTCATTGTGGTGGCCACTTGTGCATAGATCTGTCTATAGCTCTATAGAGCACTAATAGCTCATCTGTGTTCTTCCTGTTTCAGCATAACATCTATTTTAGCATTTCTTCCTCTGATGAATAAATTGGTGCTGACTCCCTAAACAGCCTCTTCTTAATTATTCTCCCTGCTAATCAGGCAATTTTCTCTTTTTGGTCTTAACAAGCAGATAAAGGAAACGCCGCCAAAGTCTAGTGAGGACGACACTGTACGGCCCTCTGTGACTCCGTATTTAAAGGGTTTTTGAAGAATACTGCACACATTATTTGAAGTAGACAGCATTTAAAGACATGATAGTATTTTTATTTTTTTTTATTTCTTTTGTCATGTGGAGCACGGTGTCTCTGTGCTGATCGGCTCCATTTTGTGGACAGATCTGAGCAAGGGGACATTGTTTGTTATTTAGCATTCCTTGGCACACTCTGTCGTGAGCCTATTTTTAAAGTTAAAAAGTGCTTGCAGTGTGGCTGCAAGAGAGGACACTGAAGAAGAAAACTGGTGATCCATGATGCTTTTATGAAAGGATGACAGAACGCTACCGCTTATAAACTCACACAGACGGCAATGATTAATCCTCATAGCCCACTTTGAACAAGAAAAAACAATTCTGCGTTGAAGATGAAAAGGCTGATAATTATGTTTATACTTCCTCTGTTTTTAACCCCAGTGCCAAAGGATTTTCTTAATCACAGCGCCCATATGGATTTATTCTATTGTGGGGTCACTGAACCTGCATTTTTTATTTCTGTGGATTTTGTGTGATCATTTGTGACATTTTTCCTTAGATGCATTTGGCTTGCCCCAGACTCCTGGCTGAGGTACACTCACACGAGAATTCACAGCAAATACATTAATGAATAACTAATCTTTGCAGATGCATGAATCTACATATCAATGTAATCAGAGGATGTTGTGTGCATGGCTATTTCCAGCAGAGGGGCTGAGAGGATGTCAAGCATGCAAAGCCTCTCTGCACGTATGCTAATCGGGCTCCATTTTCTCAATATGAATATGAACCTTGCTAAAATGAACTTGTTTAGCAATTTACTTTTAAGGATCCACCGTCTCATTTTGCCCATGCACGCAAGCTGCACTGCTGCTTGCATACTAAGCATGCATTCATGCACTGCACCTGGGAAAGATGTCAGTTTAATGGACACACTCTGAGACATCTGAAATGGTGGATTCCCAAAGATTTTGCTGTTTCATAATTTGTTCTCATGACACAGCAAATATTTCATAGCTCAAAGCTCAGAGGCAAACAGAGCATACAGTTTTGGTACAGATGCTCTGGAGGCTAGGTCAAAATGGTTAACCTGTCTTACATATCACTAGAGATTTTTAAGTGTCCTGTAAAATATCTGAAAGTTTGAATGAACAAATCCTATTTCTCTGGAACTCATGCAGACCCTTGAATTGCTTCTGTAGCAGCTCATAAACCTATAATATTACAATGCAAAGAAACGTCTTTGCCCAACATGGTGTCTAAGGTAAATATTTATACTGGTGAATTTCTCTTCTGTATATTTGTGCAACAAAAGCCATCACCTCTGATAATAATATAAAAAAAAGTAGTTTCAAGTGTAACCCAAACAGTGGAAAGCACTTTGACTGAAGGAAGACTTCAAAAAAGCAGCTATGATTAATATGAATCTCTATAAGTGAGAGTGAATTTAGGGACACGTTCAGCTAATCAGGAGACTATCCCCTGCTACCTTCAGTTTGCTCTAGTGCTTCTCGTCTTTTGTCACAGCTTATAACATCTCCCCAATGTGCCAGAGGCTTATGGGGGAGTCACTGTAGATTACTGCCTGGGTCAAAAACTGAATGCAAATCAGGACGAGGAATATGCAAAGTGAAACACTGAGGGAAAAAATCAGGGTGCAGAAAAATATCTACCAAACAGCAATCTTTTCTTTCGTTCCCATTCTAGAAATGTGAAGTACTCTAAATTCCAAATGCGTGTGTGTGTCTCTAAATATATACAGATGTATATATTTAAGTATTCTGAAAATGTTAGAAAATCTGAACGACTGTATTCTAATGTTAACTATTTTTAGAGAAGCCTAATTTACAAAACTGAATAGTTCATGCTAAACATTTCCCAGTTCACATGTTGCTGTGCGTGGATGTCACGCACAGCGGGTGCTGTGCACAATCTTGTGGTCTGATGTGAAGCCAGTGGGAGGAAATGCTAGTTCTCCAGTGAAGCTCCTCTAATGGCTTTCTCCTGGATTCCCTACCCAAATGGGCCTGTGATCTACCCTGGGCCTCTTTATTCTGGAGTTTTTGCTGTGGGACTTTGATAATAGCTGACAAATGAAAAACTCTTCCAGCATCAAATGGAGTTATTTGTTTTCCTGCCCTTACACAAAAATGACAACAGAGGAAACATACCCTGTGTTCCACTGAATTTCATTACTGTGAAGCTAATCTCCAGGATCTTAACCCACACTGACTTGCAGCGCTGCACGTTCATGCGTCTTTTTTTTCTATCACAACTGCATTTTTGCATAGTAATACATGGATATTATGTCTTTATTTATGCAGTAATTTCTGCATAAAATAGATACGCATGTATATGCATGTGTGTGTTTCTGTCGGCATGTGTGTACGGGGTTGTTACTGTATGAGAATACGTACAAACGCTCCTGTTAAGTGTGAAGACAGGACCAGGCAGCTGCTTCAGGCACAGCTTTAGTAAAGACCTGCATTCTAAATAAGTTCTGTCAGATTACGCAGGCACACACTTTACACTTCACTCCTCAGGATGTTGGCTGAGTCTACTCAGTTTATTACAGCTGGGACCTGAAAGTAAAGTGGAAAGTAACGAGCAGGTGATTAAGGAAAGCTCATAGCATGACCTTAAGCTATTGTTATTTCACTTCAAAACAAGGTAATGGATTATATGATTTACTTTTTCTATTCTTTTAAATGTGATTTGGATATATTACAGGCAAGAATCCCAGTCGGGATGTCTATGTTTTTGGTGAGAGCAAATGAATATTAATTTGATTATTTTTGGCACATTGTTATATGCAAATGTGGCCAACTGACCTCCACACGTGCTTTGCATGTATTATCCCTACAGTTGCATGACATTTTCACTCATGTAGTTATGCCCTTGACTGCACATTTTAACTGTGCAGAATAAGACTCAGAAATTTCAGTCGCCGCATATGAATAAATACCCTCCTCGCTCAAATATGAGCCGAAAACTGCAGCGAGCACATGAGACGCGTACAGTGCTGTGCTCTCAGGAGACATTTTGAGGGCCTGTTAGGATGCTGTTTACTCTTTCTGACATACAGAAAACACACAGGCAACTTTTATAGAAGCACTGTCATATGCAAACAAGTTCATTCATTCCCTGTCTCTCTCACTCGCTTCCTTAAACAACACACACGCAAACAC